ATGTGGTTTTGGGGTACTGCTCAGGCTTCCAGTAAGAACCATCAACTTTCATTTTCCTCTCGAACCCAACACCCTATTTCCTAGGGTTTTGGTTCAGAATCTATTTCTTGAGGACATCACATAGTGTCTGATGCCCTTTGAGACTCTTGTACATTCCTGTTTCAAAGAACGTCTTCAATCTGGCGTTCTCATTAGTCATCAGCAATAGTAGTGGTATCCTCAGCAGAGGGGTTAGTTACCACATCAGCAATTGAAGATATTGCAATAGCAGTAGCAGTAGAACATTCAGCAACAGAAGTAGCATTATCACGCTCAAGGCATTTTAGACATGGTGGTTCAAATCCTTCCTGAGCGGGATTGATCTGTTGAGTGCGAAGTGACTCATTCTCTTTTTGAAGATCTTCATGAGCCGCTCTCAAGTTCTCAAGTTCTTGCTTCCTTTGAAGATAATCGTAGGAGAGCTTTTCATGAGTAATTGAGAGCGTTTCATGACGACTTTCAAGCTCTTCATACTTAACATGAAGATTTTTAATGTCTTCAATTAAGGACTGAGTTCGAGTCATTTCCACGTCCAACAGGTCATCGCTTTTGTCTAACAATTTTTGAATATGTTCCATAGCAGTTTGTTGCTGTGTTGCAATTTTAGCAAGTATTTTGTAGCTAGGTTTAGATTTACATTTAGAGTCATCTTCACTGGATGTTTGATAGTGAGCATCGCGTGAGTTTACCTTGGCACCACGTGCCATGAAGCAGTAGGTGGGTGCAGAGTCATCTTCGTTAGCATCAGCGTTGGTGAAGAGGCCATCGTCTTCAGTGTTGAAGATGGACTTGGAGACGTACGCTGAAGCTAAAGCCAGGCTTGCAACGCCTGAGTCAGATTCCTCTTCAGACTCCATCTCCACCTCCTCGGATGCATACTCCTCCTCTGAATCCATTTCCTTGCCAACAAATGCACGACCCTTGCTAGATGAGCTCTTCTTGCGTGATGAAGACTTTGACGAAGACTTATAAGAAGACTTTAAGGATTTCTTCTTTTTCTTGTCATCAGAATCATATTCCTTTCTCTTCTTCTTGTTGTTGTTCTCATTGTCCCATTGAGGACATTCAGAGATGTAGTGACCAGGTTTCTTGCACTTGTGACATGTTCTCTTCTTGTAGTCACGGGAGGAAGCTTCATCATTTCTTGAGATGGATCTTGAAGACTGTCTGGAGCCTTTCTTCCTAGTGAACCTTTGGAACTTCTTCACGAGCATGGCAAGCTCCTTTTCAATGTCTTCAGGATCCTCAGAACTGCAGTCAGATTCTTCTTCAGATGAGGAAACAGCCTTTGCCTTCAAGGCGCGAGCTCGGCCATAGTTGGGACCATAGATGTCTCGTTTTTCAGATAGCTGAAATTCATGTGTGTTGAGCCTCTCAAGTATGTCAGACGGATCGAGAGTCTTGAAATCAGGGCATTCTTGAATCATCAGGGCCAAGGTGTCAAATGAGCTGTCGAGTGATCTCAAGAGTGTCTTGACGATTTCATGCTTGGTGATTTCAGTGGCACCGAGTTCATGAAGCTCATTTGTGATATCAGTGAGGCGATCAAACGTCAGCTGAACATTCTCATTGTCATTTCTCTTGAAGCGGTTGAAGAGATTGCGAAGAACACTGATCCTTGAGTCTCTCTGGGTTGATACGCCTTCATTGACCTTGGAGAGCCAGTCCCAGACTAGCTTTGCAGTTTCCAGAGCACTCACACGGCCATACTGTCCTTTGGTTAGATGACCACAGATAATATTCTTGGTAGTAGAATCCAGTTGAATGAACTTCTTGACATCAGTTGCGGTGACGCCTTCACCAGCCTTGGGAACACCATTCTTGACGACATACCAGAGGTCGACATCAATGGCTTCAAGGTGCATGCGCATCTTATTCTTCCAGTAAGGGTAATTAGTTACATCGAAGTCAGGGCACGCAGCAAAGACTTTGATTATCCCTGCAGTCGACATAGCTAAAACTCCAGGTGGTTAAACCAAATCACATAGAACAAGGGAGCACCTTGCTCTGATACCAATTTAAAGTGCTAGCTATCGACTAGGAGGGTGAATAGGCGATTTTTATGAAAGTCTTCAAAACACGGGGGCTTTGAAGACAAATAGTAGAAATGAACCTATTGATATGCAGCGGAAGGTAGACTACACTAGACATGCCATAGTCAAGTAAGCAATGAAGTGAAAGCACGAAGACTATCAGCAGCTAGGTAGTATGGATCAAGATGGAAGAAAGTATGAAATCAATCAACAACAGTCTTCACATAGTGAAGTCAATCATATCATGCAAGTAGGCAATGACTTCACGAAGACAAACTGTAGGTAAAGAGAGAGGTAAGGATAGAACCAGTTGCTTGGTGAGGACAGGTATTTGTTGGACCAGTTCCAATTGTTGTGACAATTGTACGTCTGGTTAGGGAGGCTGAGATTCAACTCAGAAGACCGCGTCTTCACCTTATTCCCCTTGAACTAAGGACACACAGTCCTCGCCCAATCACTCTGGTAAGTCTTCAAGGTAGACTTCCAAACCTTCACAGACTTCGTTCACCGGCGATCCACTATGACTCTTGGATGCTCAGAACGCGACGCCTAACCGGCTGGAGGATTCACAGTCCTCAAGTGTAACAAGTCTTCAGATCACGCAGACAGAAAGACTTCAGTGATGCCTAACACTCTTTGGCTCTAGGTGTTTAGGGCTTTGTCCTCGCAAGGATTTCTCTCTCAAAGGCTTCGAGATGGGTTGCTCTTAAACGACAAAAGTCGTGTACTAACTCTAAGCAGCCACCAATATATGGTGTAGGGGGTGGGCTATTTATAGCCACTAGGCAACCCGACCTGATTTGTCTGAAATGACCCTGGGCCACTAAGGAACTGACACGTGTCTAACGGTCAGATTTCAAACACGCGCGACAGCTTGACTTGGGCTACACGTAAAGCTGACTTATCCAGCTTTGGATAAAATTTGCTCTCATTGTCTTTGCTCGAAGACATAGGATTTGGTTGAGCATCACTTCAGTCACTCTGACTTTGTTCACTTGGACCCCACTTAAGAGTACGGTGGTTCCTATGACTCAACAAAGAAGAAAAGGAAACTACGAAACAACTATGTCTTCGCAATCCATAGTCTTCATACGATGTCTTCTCATGTCATAGTCTTCGATGTGAAACTCTTCACAGACCACCATTGTCTTCAATGTCTTCACACATTTTTAGGGGTCATCTCTGGTAGGTAAACCGAATCAATGAGGGACTACTACCTGTGTTATCCAGCAATTCTCACAAACACATCAGTCCCTCAACCAGATTTGTCGTCAATACTCCAAAACCAACTAAGGGGTGGCACTAGATGCACTTACAGTTGTCCACTGCCTTATCTGATCCCTTAACGAACTTGTCACGGACCAGAGTTCCCATGCGCGAATGCCGTCCCACCCATAAGTTTTGGGCCCACGAATGCGCTACTGTTTCCTACTGTATTTCACTGCATGTCCAATTTTCCACGCTCCGCGTCAGACGCGCCAGAGCGAATTTCACGGATCCCAAGCCATAAACAGACGCCCACGATTTCAGGTGCAACTACGTTCGGGCACCAAATCGACGCGTCGGTTTTTTTGTCTAGTCGTCATCTTTGAGTTCTGAATCTGATAGTGAGGTCATGGACACCAGGAACGATGAGATTGTGTTGATGGTTGCTCAATGGATAGCAGCAAACAGAATGAAGAGGAAGCATGCGGGGTCACAGATGGGTCGTGTGATATTTCACTGGAATAGAGTCGTCGATCATGATAAGATTATGGTCGACTACTTTGTGCCCGGCTGTACCTACCATGGCTACATGTTCTGGCTACGCTTTCATAGGTCTGAACAGTTGTTCTATCAAATTGGTGATGACATGTAAGACAAATAACCGTTCTAAGCAACGGAGAAATGTGTCGGTTCACTAGGCTTTTCTTTTGTTTCTAAAAGGTGATCGCGGCACTTTGAATGTTTCCATATGGCATTGTTGTAGTAATGACTATGAGTATCTTCGAATGACTGAAGATACCATCATAGTATGCACAAAGGTGTTCGTTGATACTATGGTTAGGGTTTATGAAGATCAATATATGTGAGCACCAAATGCCGAGTACACAGAGAGACTTTTAGCAGGGAATGCAAGAGGTTAGCCTTAGATGTTCGGGGATATTGCCTGTATTCGTTGGGGCCTCTTTTGGTTCATAGGATAGGATTATCATAGGAATAAGAATTTTATAGGAAATGAGATGGCATGTATCTCAAATCCTATGAGTAGAAATAGGAAACGAGATGTCATTTAGTTGACACCAAATGAATTTTTTCATTGAGTCTAGTCTCATTTTTATTTTCTTATTAAATGTGGAGGATAGGAATCAATCCTATATAGGAATAGGAATCTATTATTATGAACCAAAGGGCTCTAAAGAAAAAAAAATCCTATAAGAATCCTATCCTCTAAAATTCTTATGAAATTCCTCCAAATCAAAGGAGGCCTGAATGTTGGAAGAATCCCCCTGTGGAGTAATGCTACACGTACAAACGAGTTATAAGCTTTTACAAAGAGGGTTAATTTGATTGGTCAATAGGTGACGAGGCGGCCCACCCCCCTGAAAATCGGGGGGGGGGGGGGGCAAGTTTATGATTGGTTAATAGAAGAAAAAAATCCTAGTCAGCGTGTAATTGTGTGTAACTCTTTGTATGTTTAGCATTATTGCCTCCTGCGTCTTGGCAGTGCCGCCATGATCCAACAATTATTTTGGAAGCAGTGAGGATTTATGAATTTGACATTGCTATTCTGGATCGCCTGAATCTCACAATGAAATTTTGGCCGGTTGATCGGCGCCTATCCCTCACCAATTATGTTATCCCTTATTACCGATGAATCACTCTGTTTCTTCAAAAAAGAAAATACTGTTGAATCATTCATCGGGCGAGCAGAAAAGGCAAGCAACCTCAACAGCGCCCGACGAAGTCGGCCACGACGGCGAGCTCCTTGACGGCATTGTCGCAGCCGGATTTAAACAAGAAGTAGACATGCTCCTCGCCCTTGGTCTCGTGGAACTCGACCTCTCCGTCCCATCCGCACGCCTTGATCCCCTCCGCGTACGCGCGCGCCCTGTCCACGAACCAGCAGAGCTCCGCCGTGGTGACGAGCACGCGGCCGCACCCGAGCTGGCTCCACTCCCCCGGCGACGTAGCCGGGTTGATGTAAGGGTGGTCGGGGCCGAACTGGCTGCCGCAGGCGACGTCCCACAATCGCTCAAACTCGCCGCGGTAGGCGGCATCCGTGGACTCCCCGCCCACCTGCTCTGTCCCCCAGAAGTAGGAGTGCAGGAGCGCGACGCCGCTGACACCGTCGCCGTAGCCCTCGATGCGTTCCTTCCGCAGCCTTATGGCCGTGTTGTGCGCGATGTTGCCGCCGGCGCTGTCGCCGGCGAGGACGACGCGGGAGGCGTCGCCATGCGCCGCGAGCCACGGCTCGACGCCGTCCGGGCGGCACGAGGCGACGACCGCCTTAAGCGCGGCGAAGGCGTCGTCGTAGGCGGCGGGGAGGCGGTCCTCGGGAGCGAGGCGGTAGTTGACGGAGACGACGACGGCGGGCGCCGCGGCGGCGAGCGACGCGGTGTAGGCGTGGTAGAACGGGGAGGCCGGGGTTTGGACAAGGAAACCGCCGCCGTGGAAGTAAACGACGACGGGGAGCTTCTTGCCAGGCTCCGCGGCCGGAATGTACAGGCGAGCGGAGATGTTGGCGGAGGCGTCGAGGACGACGTCCTTGGAGGCGACGCCATAGGCGGGGTCCCCGGAGGGGCAGGGCGGGACGGTGTTGGTGTCGGTGCCGTCGAAGCGCTCGACGCGGCCGCTCTTGTACACGCGCACGACGCCGGGCCTCTCGTACTCGATGATGTCGGAGCCAGGGTCCATGACGCCGGCCTTGGCTTGAAGCTGTGGATCAGAAGCGGAAATGGTCACTTCGTTATGTAGAGACAGAGAGACCTGCTGAATCAGGCATGCCCTCACTCCACCAACACCATTATTCTGCCGGTCTACCACCAAAGGCCACTAGACAGAACACAGCACCCTGACAAGCTACAAAATTCCAAAACAAACAAAACTCATCATGAAACCACCAGCAATCGTAGCAGCCTCCATATTTATTGGCAGTATCAACCTTCAGCCTCCCAAGTCCCAAACTCCAAAACAAGCAAAACTCGCCATGAAACCACCAGCAATCGTAGCTGCCTCCATATTTATTGGCAGCATCAACCTTCAGCCTCCCAAGTCCCAACCATGGGCAACATACCTTTTCCTTTTGGTGCTCTGCAAGACTGCAACGGAGGCAAGCAGAGAAGATTGGTGCTAACCAGATTGAAGGTGGTGAGAATAGTAGGGCGGTGGACCAGCACCACCAACTGTTTCTCCATAGAATCATTGTTAAAGAAAAGTACTACTCCTGACCTAACATTGGAGTGTATTATTGGATTAGGTGATATGTTGTTCGGAGGCTTCTATTGTCCTTGGCTCACCTCTCGTGTGCTCCGTGTAGAAGTGCATGCTCTATCAATGCAACCAAAAAACCGATCCCATGAAAGAGACTAGGCAGTACATTATACGTCAACACTTTCTCTCACGTGTGGCTCCCTCAGGCCTAAACATGGACCGAAAGTGGGCAGCAATTTAATTGCGTCAGCTGGGTCTTGAACTCAAGACCTATTGGCTCCGATACCATGTAGAAGTGCATGCTCTAGCCAATACAACCAAAAGACCGATCTAATAAAAGAGACTAGGCTGCACATTATACGTCAACACTCCGGGAGCACCTTACTTCAAGTGCTCCAAAAAGAGCTCGGTCCTTGGATCTAGATCCCACAGCCACATGAAGAGCTCACGCATATTTGTAAAAAAAAAACAAGTCCTATAATTACACATAGGCCCAATAACTCCTCAGCTGATCGTTCGATCTACAAAGGAGTGTGCAAGTGCTCCGGTGACTCCCAATGAAAATGTTTTGGAGACTCCAATTGATTAGAGTTTTGCAACGGCTATCTCATAAATTGATCTTGGTGTTTGAAAGGATGTGGTTCAATTGCACAGAGATAGTGGGAAAAAATGAGAGTCTTTTTCAGTGGTTTTACACTTCAGAAAGAAACCCATCATCACATTCTCCATGATTAGGGCGTTTTGGTGACCGGGCTCCATGGAGGCTGAAATTTTCAAATTTTCAAAATTCAACCTTTCCATTTTCAAAAAAATCTGAAAAAATATTCATGTATATAAGAATGAAATGTACATGTGTGTAAAAAATTCAAGATGATATACCTTGAATTGCGGCTTGTACAAAAAATAAATTCATGGACTTTGGGGATAAAGACTATCATGTGCTAAAAAGCCACATTTTTTTTCACAGGCCTTATTTCAACGTATTTCATCGTGGAGATTGACACATATGTGCATTATGCCTCCATGTATATATATGTACTTTTTCAGTTTTTTTGAAATGTAAACATATGAATTTTGATTTTTTTTTCAAAAAACAACCTCCATGGAGCTTGGCCTCCAAAGGCAATTTTCAATTCTCGACCCCTTTTTGATAGTATCCGCATACATATGGATTCAATGTGATATTGGATCACTAAAATAAAAAGGCTAAGTCTTAGCCAACTTGAAGAAGGGGGGGGGGGGTTATCAATCATTTCTCTTGTTGTATATTTTGAAATATTAGTAATTATGCATGTGGAACGCACGTTTCGACAAATATAACGTACTATAGTAACCCCTACAAAGTACACATTGCATTGGACTTCCATATAACTTTAGAGAAAATCCATGAAACTTGTCACACAAGCATTATGAAATAGTTCCAACTTTCAAACATGCTCACAACACATGCAATCAAAAAATAATCATATTATGGTATAATATAAACCATTTGGTACTTTGTATTCTCCCGTGCAGAAAGTGACTTTCCTTTCTTTTGTGTAAGATATAACTAAATCTAAGAAGGGCTATAAGAAATCAATGCAAATACATACTAAACTATTCACATTACATAGTAATATTGGGCGGTACATCCAAAGATAAGACGTAACGAATATGCTTCTATGATTATCTAAACTAACAAGTAATCTAACATAATTTTCATTCCTTGCATTGCACATGTACGTCTGTCATGGCTGCATAACACACATAGAGAAAAAAGAGGTATGGTATTACAAGAATGCATAAAGCAAAAGGAATTGTATAAGATGCCACAATCCCATCAATTAGACTCCTCTCCCGTAAACTTTCACAATAACTATGTGTTTTCCGCAACTATTAAACTTGTTTGCAACTACAAGAACAATCAACTATTCATGGAGGAAAAAAATCGTTCATCTAATATTAGTTAACAAACAATTATTAATATTAGTGGAAAAACAATCAACTATACTGATGGAAGCCATATTAGTTAACAATCAATTATTAATGTTAGTGGAAGAAGAATAAAAACACAACCATAAAAAAAATCAAAATCGGAAATAAACAAATGCGAACCAACTGGGAAAATAGCAAAAACTAAGCATATGCATACCTCGCAATGGATCACATCAAACAATGTAGTTGTTGATTAATCTATCCTAAAAAATCCGAACTATATTGGATTTTTTTTAAAAACCTTTCTATGCCTCGCAATGGTCATAAAGACAATTAAGTTGTTGCTAAACTTCAAAGGACACAGTGTAGTTATTAGCTTGTTGAAGGAATTCATGAAGTCTGTCATGTTCAAATCAGGGACCTTTTGGAATTCCACATGTCGTTCAGATTTCACTAGTTAATGGTATTCATGCTTCAATTTTGCCCACCGGTGATTAAAATTTTCACCTACAATATTAATCAATAGGAACACATGTGGTGTCATACAACCAAATGATGCATGTCTAAGTGATTTCCATTCTATTGACAAGTAAAATTGCAAGGTACGTAAAAAATATATAATGTACATGCATGTATAAATGAAGTCCCTCGAAGCATTCACAAATGATCGCTCGAACGGAAGATCAAAAGCACGACCTCTCTACAGTTTGCGAGTGTACAGTCTTCACGATCTGGCAGCGCTTCGCCTACAGAGATTGTCGTCACCGGAGAATTAGAGGGATACGATTAGAACCACACTGGATTTTTAATTATGAGGACTAGAGAGGATTAGGTCGAGCTCTAGTTCGATCAACTAGAACTAGAGAACTAGATGATGCTCCAAAACTCGTGTGTCCAAAATCTCTAGTATATATAAGTTGAAGAAGGGGAGGAGGGCCACAAGGGGGAAGGTTCCGCCTCCCTTGTGCCGGCCCTAGGAGGGACAATCCTCCTCCAATTCGGCCTAAGCTAGGGGGCGCCTCCACCTAATGGAGGCACATTAACTTTTCCTCTATATGCTTCATTAGTATTTTCCTTGGCACATTGATAGCTCCGCAACAGAGAGATTCAGGGTCTGCTGGCCAAGCCCTATTAAGAGCCTCGGCTACTGTCGTAGTCGCCTTGATGCGGGGGTCTAACCCAATTATATAAGAGTGACACCACTTCTTGAATCCCGATTCCATGAAGCTTAGTAGTCCTCCCAAAAATAAGCACCAATGTCATCTCACACGTTAACAAATACGACCACACGATAGATAAACAAGGATTCCAGAGGCACAACTATATCAAATTCACGTGTTCAAAAAAAACCTACTATATCAAATTCACACAGTTTGTATACTATTCTTTCTTTTAGGCGTGTTTTTTACTGTGTTTCTTTTAGAGAATTTTACCTTTTTAGCAGATTAAGGAATTATATTGTATTGAGTACTCTACCGTGTTCGTGGAAAAGGGATTTTTTCCCTGCTGGAATGTTTAGTTGGGCTTTATATTAGCCTAAAAGAAAAATCATCTCTTGGGCTCACACGTCTCGAGGCTAAATTTCGTGTTTTGATCCATTTATAAAACCTATTCAAGATTTGATCTTAGTTAAAATTTTTTTTGAGATCTAACCATTTTGCTACCGCCAGGGACCATGGCGGTAGGGTATAACAGCCTACCGTCAAGGTCCCTGGCGATAGGGTTGCATGCCCTACCGTCAAAAACCTCCTAAGTATTAAACACAATGCGTGTTCGTGCCTACCGTCAAGCACTTTGACGGTAGGGTTGTGCAGGCTACCGCCAGCCCGGTTGGCGGTAGCGATGTTTCCTACCGCCAAAGTCCTTGGCGGTAGACTGTTAGATCCTACCGCCATGGATTTTTTCAAACTAGGGTCAAATCTCAAATAGGTTTTAGAAAAAGGTCAAAACACGAAAATTTGCCACGTCTCGATCCCATCTCCTTGACTTCTCTCCGCCTCGCTCCCAAATTATTGCTGCAACCAGATGAAGTGCGGCAGCCGCGGATGGTCCAAATCCCATGCCTCCCTTGGTTTCCCCTGCGTAATCTTTTGGAGATCCTGAGAGAAGGCATCAGACGCGCGCCTCGCTGGTGCCCTCCATACCGTCGCCGCCGACGGCAGGGAGGTGCGCGCAGAAGCCAATTCCCCTGGCTTTGATGGGTTTGAGGCTCTCAACACTGGGCCTCCGACCGTGCTTCTAATCGGCCCATGATCTGCTTTCTACTAGTTCTTTCTACTACAGTCGTACTGTCGTAGTTCCCTTGTCTCAAAAAAAAAAAAAGAGAGTCGTAGTTCGTCTCGGACTCGCTGCGGCTTCTCCATCCCTATTCCCGAAACCCTCTCTGGCCGGCAGCGCGACAACCTCCCTTTCTTCTTTGGGGGCTCTCTCCGTGCAGGCGAGGCGCCGAGGACAGGGGCTAGCGGTCCCCGGGCTCCTAGTTATTCCCCGGTTCGCCGGCCATGGCGTCTGCAGCGGAGGCCGCCGGAGACGCCTCCACCTCCGCGGCCGAGGTGCGGGAGAAGCCCGTCGTCGTCCGGGTCAAGCGCAAGCCCTCGCAGGCCCGCCTCGACGCTTTCTGTGAGCACTCCTCCAGCCCTGCTCTTTCCTTCCCGCTGCTCCCCCCTCTCCGTTTCATCAAATTTTACAGTGAAAAGGAAAGGTTTTTCTTAGGTCAATAAAGGTGGTCTTTTTCCTGTGCTTTGTTAGGGCTGGAGATCAATGAGAGGCCCATGAAGAAGGCCATGCTCGATTTCTCGAGCCTCTCCATCTCCCAACCCTCCTCCAGTGCCCAAGGTATGAACCAACCACCTCCTGTTTGCATGTAACCTGTCACTCATGATTTTACCCTATTTAACATAACTCACCACTGATAAGCTTCAGAGGAACCACGGGTGAAGAAGCTTCTTGTCCAGCATGTCGAGACAGTCCATCATTCTGGGGCTGTTGAAGACGTTCTTCACTCCCTTTTGGTAATATTCGTTAAGTCTTGTTGTATTTCTTTCTTGTGGAACTGGTCGAGCATCACACAGGTTTTGTTGGCCACACATTATGAACCGAATAACTTCTCTGAAATTGTTGGGAGATATATGCGACTAGTTGTACTCTACATGCATGGAACAAAGGAATTACTAGTTCCATCAATATGCGGTTGCTCAATGATCAGTAGTAGTTATTCTCAAGATGGGAATGGGCCGATGTTACCCATTGAGACGTTGGTCCGACCCAAAATTTCAAGGTCAATGGGTCTTCTGGGTCGGCTTCGTATGAAAAATGGGTCAGGGGAGCCGGACACCACAGTCCCATCGGGTCATCGGGGCAAGTGGGTCGAGCCAAATTTGGTTGCCCAAAGTTGTAGTAGCCTTTACAGTGGCATATGCATATATGAGGGTTATTAGCCTTGTATTTATAGAAAAATTTAAAGTATTGATCCAAAATTACCTTTGTTCTAGAGTTACAAATATGCTAACGGCTGTATATACGCATTGTTTTTCTTTGAAAAAAATAACTCTAGAGATCCTAACATGCTAAAAAATTCTACCGCTAATGATGCTATTTGTAAAGATGTTGTGTTACTACTTCCTATTTTGTGTCAATTAAAATGGGTCCGACCATGTTACCCAGTGGGGCATGAGGCCGATCACCATTGGACCATTGGGTTGGCTCCATGTCCCTGAACAAAGCAGATCGGCCAATGGTACCAGGTCCGGGTCGGAGCGGGCCGACCCATTCCCATTCTTAACTGTTATTCTATGCATAGTAATACATTTTATAGAACATAATCCCATCTGTTTCTTTTTAGCATTCTGACCTGAGCACCAAAGAGATAAAGAGCAAGACAAAGGAGAGGAATGAAAGAATGAAGCAAGACAAAGTAAGTCCCTTTGCAATTATTTACCTAATTATTATTGTGCTCGTCCCCCTGAGAAGGTTTTAAATAGCGGGTAGCGGGCTGGTAGCGGATTGGGGTCCATGTAGCGGAATGCAGATAGCTGGCGATATTGCAGGCGCTATGTCCGCATAGCCGATTTGTAAGAACACTAGATTATTCTGTATATTTCTAGATCATTAACAAAAGTAATGACATTTAATTTCAGAAATAGCGGCTGCAATAGCTCTACCGCAATAGCGGCCGTTATCTCCGCTATTTAAAACTATGCCCTGAGGACCACTTGAATAATTAAACCTTCTTGTTTCTCTCCTTGAGCGTTTGAATGATCCACTGCTGAACTACGATGTCATAAGCAGAGCTTTCTATTTGGAATTTGGAATGAAGTTACTCAATCAAATTCTAAGATAGTTCTCTTTCAACAGAAACAAGACCAGCTACGTTCAGCAGCCAGACAGAGACATGAGGTAATTTTATTCTGGCTAGTGAACTTCTTATCCTTAAGTTTATGTGTACTAATTATGCACTTAATTTGATGGATCGCTGGGATCAAGCAAATGTATTGTAAAGGGACAGTAAAATTATTTTAGGTGAAAAGGGTTTGGGCAAGTGTTGTATACAGCATGATCAATTTCTAGAGTAAGTGTAGAGTGTTATGGGTGCAACTTACCTATTGGATCAGAGCGGGAGCCGCGCCAGGACAGACCAGCGACGGTGAGACGTGGTGGACGGGAGTACCAGCGTGGTTGTCCTGCGGGTGGTGGACACGGACGATTGTAGCATCAGGGGGTGGAGTCGGACGGGAGGCGCTGGAGAGCAGCGCCAGCAGAGAGGAGGTCAGCACAACCGGCCAAGGAGAAAGGTGGTGGCGCAAGATTAGGTCGAGAGGGCGAGTTGCGACGTCCAAAAAAAATTCCCTAAACCTGGGCCCATGATACCGTGTTATGGATTTAACTTATCTCTATTGCACACAATATATGGCACACAATACTTGGGGTACAAAGAAGGAAACATAGCCTAATAAGGACTCCTAGGCTTATACTGATACTCCTTAACATAGAGCACGCTCTTTTCCTTTCTTATGATTGAGATTCAGCTTGTGTTTTCTTTGGAATAATAATGTGTACCTTTGTATCCTTTGCATAGCTGGTGAGGGCTATTATGCTTTCTTGACAGCAGCACTTTTTTGCCGAGTTCTTATTTTCTTCGCATCCATCAAAGACAGGGGATGATGTTGGTTCTCTGTTTCCCTCATTGTTAGTAATAGTTTTTGTCAATGTCCCTATATAGAATCTTGGAAGAAATGCCCGCTTTGCACAAATATGGAAGAGTCGGAAAGGAGACAATAATGAGGTTGATGAAACACTGAGAGAAATGTGTCATCTTTATGATGCTGTCCAAGTAGATTCTGATGGAGAGAAGCATCCAGCAGAACCACAGTAAGTTTTGTTTTGGATAACTCATCTGTTCTTCTAAAACAAAATGGTGAACAATCATGTGGTTCCTTATGATGCTCTCTGCAGGATGACCTCTGTCGAAGAGGGTGCGATTTTATGCAACTTTCTTCCGCTTCTACGGGAACACTTGCCGTCGGCTGCTGAAGAAATCGAATCTGATATTGTTTCGCTAGCACAGTCAGAAGGTATGTAATTTCTTTCCTTTTAGGTGTTCATGCCACGTAAGCTTTAACAGTGTGTGAAAGAGTTGAGATCATTGGTGTTGATAGCAAAGTGTAATAATGCATTTTATAGTAATCACAAGCATTTTTGCTTGGGCGCAAATATTAATGAGAATATTTTTCCTGGTGAGTAGATTCAGATGTTTATGACATATATACTGTCAAGGAGGTGGATGATACAAACATGGAGGAGGGCGCATCTGCAGCTTCATACCCACTGTAATTTTCATTCAAACGTGTTACTAGATCCCATTCTTTTTCGTGGGGATTCTGTTTGACAAGTCTTCTTATACTAGGTTACAAGTGGACGATGAGGATGGCGAATGTTACGATGATGATGAGTATCCATATGACACGGATGACTCAAATGGTAATTGTACAATCATTCTGCTTCTGTAATTAATTGGTAAGATCTTCATTAGCTTAAAAGTTGTGCGTTGAACATGCAGCCGAAGACAACCCACTCTATGATTATCCTGAAGAACTTTCAGAGGATGAGGATGATGATAGCAGTGACGAGAATCCATTTGCGGATATAGATGGCTCTGGTTCCGAGTACGAGAATGAAGAGGTGGAAAAATCCGATGAGGAGGAGTAGCGGCGGCAGCAAAATAATGTTTTAGCTGGGTGTAATCTTTGACGATGAAATAGGATGAGACAACCTCTTGCGTTCGTAACTCAAGAGGAAATTCATCGCTAGCCCCACTGTCACCGAAACATTGTATTGGCGTTATGAGGAAAGACCGTTGATCTGGTGGACTTCTTTGTGTTTCTTGTTCGGTCAGCAGTGATCTAGCTGGGTTGGTGCTGCTGCTAGTAGCTCCCAAAGATGGGTTGCGTTAGGCGTGTCTGCCTCTGAATCCAGGTTAGTGTTGAAGAAGAGTGGGTTCCTGGAATCTTAGTGATATCTTTTTATCAGATGGGCCCCGCTTCACATACCCTCTGCTTCTTTTTTAGTAGGCTTGCTTAGCTCTGTGCCACTTAACTTTTGATCAGATAAGCAGCAAGTGGATATTACACTTTTTTTTAAGTACAGTAAACACTGTTGACAATACAGCTTTGTTCAGAACTTCTAATGACGAATCAATGAAACGAGCAAGCGTGAAGCCCAACTTCCAGAACAACATCAATCAATATCTTCCGTGCTGTTCACATCAAAACCTTGGCTCGGAATTGCACAGCTGATACATTTACCCCTAAACCATCACTAGAAAATACTCACGTTTCACAGGCAAAAAAGTTGAGGTTGTCTGAGCAATACTATGGAGTAAAACTGAACAGACATAACCTCCATACAAAAAGAATTTTAATACTCCCTTCGTTCCAAAATAAGTGTTTCGACTTTAGTACTCCCTCCGTCTTATAATATAAGATCATTTTGCAAGCTAAAATAGCTTGCAAAACGACCTTATATTATGGGATGGAGGGAGTACAACTTCAACACTTATTTTAGGACAGAGGGAATATTAGACATCTCTTGTTCTTGTTCTTGTAAATTATCTTCAGTTTTGCTAAAGCACATCTAGATGTGCTATAAGTATTGCACATCTAAGTCATATATCATTGATCTTACATTAAGATTCGTGTGAATACTTTCTTTCTTTTTTTTTTTCTTTTTATACTTGATTCACTCACTTAGATGTGCAATAACTAAAGCACATCTGGATGTGCCCTAGACACACCAATTATCTTGCCAGTTTGTTACATCGCACAACCTCTAGCCTCTAGGTTTTTCTCTTTTTCAAAGGTAACTTGTGGTTTTGCGACAGGCTTGGCAAATTCAACAATCCAAGGTTCAGATCAATATACAGGTCACTAAAATTAATCTAAACATGCAATTTTGCCCAAAGTACCACCACGTTTAGATTGCATAGCTAAAGTTCTGTCTTACACGTTACAACATTAGCGAATTGCTTATGCCAATCCAGATCAACGAAATTGATCACTCATCATTTATTACCCTGTCAAAAGATTGAGCAGAATTTTCCACCATAAAAGGCCATCAAACCATGAAAACAGCAGAGCATTTCGAGTGTTATGAACATGGCATAACTATTCTATATATAGAAACTATATTTAGTGAACAAAGATTAGCTACTAGTATTATCACAGTGACACAGAAGCTCGAGAAAGAATCATGAGATGCCTAATTATCCGACAGAAACATCCAGTTCTCTAATAAAAATTGATGACAACCAAAAGAGAACTGCATAGGTACTTAATTAAGCAACGTATGAAGCTAGCAAGATGCATAATTGGTCTACTAGTTCTCAAACAGGCAAAACTGTGCCCCAATCCCCAAGAAGCACACACTTCTGATGATTTCAATTGACAAGCACAAGTGATTAGCCACAATTCATCGCAACAACAAGGTAAATGGAAACAGAAAGGGCACCATAATTAAACATGTAGGGTACTTCGGCAGATCTAACTCGTCAGGTAGCAACCACAGCCTCTTTGTTACACACCAAAACCATCTGATCTGATCTGAGACGAAGACGAAACAGGAGCAGGAACCGGATTGATCAGGCGGACGCGGAGGCGGCGGTGCGGGAGCGGTAGAGCTTGCCGAAGACGTGGAGGGCGGTGACGAAGCCGATGAAGCAGACGGACATGACGAGCACCATGGTCGGGGAGAGGCGCAGCCCCGGGGCCTCGTCGGTGTAGAAGCGCAGCATGTTGTTCCCTCCACCGCCGGAGAAGCCTCCGCCACCGGACGCGGAGGAGGAAGTGCGGCCGGGTCGGCGTCGCATGCCGGCCGTGGCGGCGGGCGTGCCGCGGGGCCCGGCGGTGGCCGGGCGGGATCCGGCGGCGCCGGCGCCGCCGACGGAGGACTGGGACTGCGAGGACGAGCGGGCCATGAGGGGCTTCGGTTGCGCCGCCGGCTTCGCCTTCGTCTTCTCGTCGGGATCTCCTGCGGATGGAAAGAAAAGTCTCGCTCGCGCTCTCGAGTCTGGATCTCGAGCTAACAAGAGTACAAGACTTGACGACGGAGCTACTGACCGACGAGGCCCACCGGTCAGTGAGCGGACATATACCCAGTTTGTTCCTCGTGCTGTTTGGATTCTTTCCCTTTTGCGTAAAAAAGAGAAAGAAGTTGCCCTCTCAGATTTCCATCCATATCCTCCCCCTCGTATCCTTTTGTTGTACTATCGTTTATGAAAACTCTAGTTTCTTCACTGGACAATGAACCTGGCTTACTTTTCAACCCCTTAGCCGGTGAACGTTTGTTAAAAGAAGGTGGCGTTTGTGAATGATTTCACTTGCATTTTTAGGTGCGAGGGATGGCTATTTCTTCATAGCGACATGACAGTTTTTGTCAAACAAGGCAATTTTTTAAAATTGTCATTGTTTGATCTCATCTCAGAACTAAAACTATCATAAAAAAGGGTTTGCTTGTCATCCCTCTCCTAGCAAACGATCGTCAGATAGGATTTTTGTACTCTTTTTTTTCTCAAATTGTTTCTCTGAAGCACTTTCCGTACTATTGTATTCAAAACATTTTTTTCTTTTTTTGCAAATGTATTAGAACCATTTTAATCGTCGGTTTACAAACGACAAAATCCCACCACAAACAATCTTGCAAAACATCATATGTTTAAACCTATGTGGGATGGAGTGTACGCTTGAAAGGCATTTCACTAGCTATCCAATGGTCATCTTTGCCTATTGTGATTCATCCAGATTGTTCAGAATTGGTCAAGATGACCACCGAACAGGGAGAGAACAGATCTGCATACATGATGATGGTACATGAGATTAAAGCATTGCTTCTTCAGGGTCAGAGGGAATTCATAGTCAAACAAGTTTGGCGAGAACAAAACATTGTTAGTCACTTTTTACCAAACTATGGTAGAATAGAGAAGCGCATTGCGGTGTGATCGGATGAGGTACCTGACCTTTATAATGCAGACTTGGCTGCTTGATGAATGAATTTCCTTTTCCTCGCAAAAAGGCAACAGAGTAGGCTACTGTTTTTTCATAGGTTGCATCCATATTTTAAAAGCACACTTTATACATATATATCTCGTCCCACAAGTTACATTTATGGTTTTTCCCAATCTTTTGTGAAAACCATTTGGTATGATTTTATAGTTGCAAAACTATTCCATAGATTAAAATTCCACAAAGGTAATTTGAGATAAAAAGTGTGTACAACTAATAGTTTTGGAAAATGAAGCATAGCATTTACCATAAATAATATGGGACTTAAATGGATCTATTTATTTATTATCGTTCAATTCTTTCCAAAACTAGTGTCATACATCCTCAACAAACCATCTCTGTCATCACCATCTCTCACACACGGTTTGATCTAGGAGTTTATTTATCTCCTCTCCTCTATAGCCAAGGAAGAAGGTGCATCAGAGACCGAAGAACCATCACCAATACTCTTATGAGTTGAGTATTCTTGATGCAACCAAATTGTTTGGCCTATTTAAAACCTGCTAAAATGTGAAATGAATTCACAATACTAATAATGTATGTGCCTTATGTTATGAAGTTTCAGAATCAAGCTCGATATGTAGCTTGATAAACAAAAAAAAATCAACATTGGTAGTGTTCTTTTTTTGTGAAAAGGATTGGATCTATTATAAAAGCATCTCAAACAAAAACCACCAACATTGGTAGTGTTAATGGGCCAAATTCATAGTCAATTTGAACTAGCTACTATTCATAAGCACATTTGTCTTTTTATAATAGTGTTTTGGATTTATATCCAGTTTTTGTGATATGATTTGTATATATTCATGACTTCTATAGTGAAATGTGCGGATTTGGAATACTAAGAGTACCTCACATGTGGGACTACAAGATACATTTTCACTCGGACTACATGTTTTTTAGGGGACTCGGACTACACGTGTAATGGCATGGGTCAGTCATGGGCTGTGGGTAAAAGAATTTTTGGACTGAGTTTATATGTGGACAAGTTGTGCAGAGAGACCAAGTGTGGTCTTAGAGCATTTTCAACGCAAACACTAAAACCGCCGCAAACATTCGAACCGCATGGTCCGGATGTGTTTTTCCATTCAGCGCGGTGGTCTAGACGCATTTTTCCCTGTAAACCGGAGACAAACTATGGGGCTTTGTGGTCTCTGGACGGCTGGCACGTCCGCTTCTAACTACCCTGGCCCATCATTAACCCCCTCCCACGTTCGTGTGCGCTTCCCGCCTGAAATAGTCACTGCCGCTCTAGAGCGTCAGTGCCACATTCATGCCTGGCCAGAGCGGGCACGACCTCTCACCGCTGCTGGCATTGAAGCAGTGTGCCACTTTCCGGTGCAGGCGATTGCTTCACGTTCAAACGATGCCTTGTCGGTTCCTTGCCCTACATTAATGATATGGTTGTGGAGGAGCCTACTCCGGTGCCACCCGTTCATCCATCTGTCGGCCACCAATAACCACATCGCCGCGGCCCATTGCCACCAAATGGACACTAATCATACAAGCAGTGCCCTTGAGGGCTCGAATACATAAGCTCGAATACAAACAAGTCAGCGGAAGCAACAATATCTGAGTACAGACATAAAGTAAACAAGTTCGCCTTAAGAAGACTAGCACAAATGATAACAACGATGGAAAAGGAAAGGCCTCCTGCCTGGGAGCCTCCTAACTACTCATGGCCGTTGGCGGCCTCCACGTAGTAGTAGGCACCTTCGGGGTAGTAGTAGTCGTTAGTGGTGGCATGCGGCTCTTCAGATTCGTCATCTGATCGCAGCAATCGGGTATAGGTGAAAAGAAGTAGCAAAGTAACAGTAAGTACTCGCAAGACTTACATCAGATCTATGCTAAGTATGCATCGGTAGCAAAGGAATGGGATATATCTTTGGACTGAACTGCAGAAATGCCAGAATAGAGGGAAAGCCTAGACTATCGAAGACTAGCACCTTGAAGCATCTTGCAGCATTAAAAGAGTGCAAATTAGCATAATATAAAGTAGTAAGTTGTAGTAACGCCCAGAGATTCTTTCTCGACTCCCTACGAGAAAGCAATCCCGGAGCCATCTAATGACCCACAAGTATAGGGGATCAATCATAGTCCTTTCGATAAGTAAGAGTGTCGAACCCAACGAGGAGTAGAAGTAAATGACGAGCGGTTTTCAGCAAGGTAATGTCTGCAAGCACTGTAATTGTCAGTAACAAGTAGTTTAATAGTAAGATAATTTGTAACGGGCAAGTAACGGTAATGGTAAATAAAGTGCAGCAAGGTAGCCCAATCCTTTTTGTAGCAAGGGACAGGCTGGAACAATCTCTTATAATAAGCAAAGCGTTCTTGAGGACACACGGGAATTTCATCTAGTCACTTTCATCATGTTGGTTTGATTCACGTTCGCTACTTTGATAATTTGATATGTGGGTGGACCGGTGCTTGGATGATGTTCTTACTTGAACAAGCCTCCCACTTATGATTAACCCCCTCGCAAGCATCCACAACTACGAAAGAAGAATTAAGATAACAATCTAACCATAACATTAAACATATGGATCCAAATCACCCCCTTACGAAATAGCGCATAAACTAGGGTTTAAGCTTCTGTCACTCTAGCAACCCATCATCTAATAATTACTTCGCAATGCATTTCCTTAGGCCCAAAGATGGTGAAGTGTCATGTAGTCGACGTTCACATAACACCACTAAGGGAATCACAACATACATATAATCAAAATATCAAACGAATATCAAATTCACATGATTACTTGCAAGATGACTTCTCCCGTGGCCTCAAGAACAAGGGCAACTACTCACAAATAATATTCATGCCCAAGATGAGAGGGATATTAAATATCATAATGGATCTGAACATATAATCTTCCACCAAATAAACCATCTAGCATCACTACGAGATGTAATCAACACTACTAGTCACCCATAGGTACCAATCTGAGGTTTTGATACAAAGATTGAACACAAGAGATGAACTAGGGTTTGAGATGAGATGGTGTTGTTGAAGATGTTGATGAAGATTGGCATCCCAAAGATGAGAGGGTTGTTGGTGATGACGATGGCTTCGATTTCCCCCTCTCGGAGGGAATTTCCCCGGCGGAATCGCTCCGCCGGAGGGCAAAAATGCTCCTGCCCAAGTTCTGCCTTGAGACGGCGGCGCTCCATCCCGAAAATCTTCTCCTTATTTTTTTCTAGGTCAAAAGACCTTATATACTAGAAGATGGGCACTAGAGGTGGGCCAGGGCCCCTGATACGTCTCCATCGTATCTACTTTTCCAAACTCTTTTGCCCTTGTTTTGGACTCTAATTTGCATGATTTCAATGGAACTAACCCGAACTGATGCAGTTTTCAGCAGAATTGCCTTGGTGTTATTTTGTGCAGAAATAAAAGTTCTGGGAATGACCTAGAAATTTACGGAGAATATTTTTGGAATATATAAAAAATATTGGCGAAAGAATCAACCAGAGGGGACCCACCAGCTGACCACAAGGGTGGGGGGGGGGGGCGCCACCTACCTTGTGGGTCCCCTGGACCTCCACTGACCTCAACTGTATATATTCACGTTCGAGGAGAAAAAATAGAGAGAAGGATTCATCACATTTTACGATATGGAGCCGCCGCCTCCTCCTGTTCTTCATCGGGAGGGCTGATCTGGAGTTCGTTCAGGGCTCCAGAGAGGGGGATCCATCGCCATCATCATCACCAACCTTCCTCCATCACCAATTTCATGATGCTCACCGCCGTGTGTGAGTAATTCCATCGTAGGCTTGCTGGACGGTGATGGGTTGGATGAGATTTATCATGTAATTGAGTTAGTTTTGTTAGGGTTTGATCCCTAGTATCCATTATATTTTGAGATTGATGTTGCTATGACTTTGCTATGCTTAATGCTTGTCACTAGGGCCCGAGTGC